CTGCTACTGCTACTGCTACTGCTACTGCTACTGCTACTGCTACTGCTACTGCTACTGCTACTGCTACTACGACTACGACTACGACTCCGACTGCGACTGCGACTGCGACTGCGACTGCGACTGCGACTACGACTCCTACTACTACTACTACTGCTACTGCTACTGCTACTGTATATAGTTCTCGCAGGTATTGAATCAAGAGTATCCTTCTTATTTGTAATGATTCCTCCAGCCTCCAGTGGCCAAGGCGTCCTCAGTGACAACACCGCCCAGAACTTCCATGGCCGGTGTCTCACATAAAGTCTTCTAATCGATGCCACAAGAGCTGGAAATGATTTGTTTGCAGCCTGCGTGTTGCTGACTTTCAATCAATGAGTTCCTATTTTGTACCATAGCTATACAATGTTTTATCAAGCCTTTCTTTTTCCGAGACATCTTCATCCGCAACATCATCTGGGAAGGGCGCAGTTGGGACCTCACTGCGGGTCTTCAGATGTTACCCAGTCCTTGGAATAATTCCTGCAGAAGCTTTGTAGGAAGAACCTACATGCTCCTAGCCACTAAGGTCTCATCTTCTCCACTTCCTGATGACTGTGAAGACTCAGAATGCGAAATGTTCTAGTCGCGGAATCAAACAGAGGACAGTTGCTATGAAAGTGTTTGATCAGATCAACACTACTTCAAGATCGAACCCATCAAGCATTGCTAAATCAAGTTGGACCATGCTCACAATTATTTCCATTGCTTACTATCTTTGATCACCTGTGCAGGATGCCGTGACACATATATTCGGCCTGAATTCAGTTGCACCCAAGCAGGGAAGCCAAGCACCTGCAGCATTGACCGAATTCGTACGGTGCCTGACCTCGGAATTCCGTTTTGGATACGTTCAATTCATCTATTTTAGCCTAGCCTCAAACGTGGCCACCTCCACCTCCCAAGATCTACCACTTGCTCTTTGTCAGCCTTTTCTATCATGAATCATGTGTATCGGTTTTCTTGTCTGTTACCTGCTTTGTCGTATTTAATGGTTCGCCTCACAGCCCTACTTACCCCATAGCACTCGTTTCTGAGTTTACTGTTCTCTACCCTATTCTGTAAAAGGATTAGATAAGAATGGGCTAACGTAAACAAAAGACAGAAGCAAGCCGGTGTCCATTCATAATTCATAATTAAAGCTTATTATTGTCGAAAGGAGCGTTCATGAGGTTTCGTTGCCGGTTCAGCTTGTGTTGTCACGTGCGATCAATAGCCGCCACCTTGGCCCGTGCGCCAGTGCCCTTCACTTTTAGTGGGCGCCTGAGCGTGGTGGCTTGGCTGCGGGGTGGCTGCTTTTGATCATTGCGGGCCATGCCAACATATGCAACGATGATGGTGGGGTTGGGGCACCCGGTGGCAGTGGAAGTGGGTCGTCGTCGGGTGAGAGGGCATCTTCGGAACGACGACCGGCGGAGCACTTGAACATGGTGTCTAGCGATGAAAATGAGTGGTGGTCTAGTCCGAATGGCACTTTGGAATCTGGTCCTGGGGATCGTCTCGCTGGAGCCCGAATTGGGAGTGGGCTCAAGGTTTCAGAGTAGATGGCACAGCATCATCTAGTCCCATATAAACCACCTCTTGAGAACTGTGCCATCTACTCTGAATCCAACTATGAATCAGTGGCCAGGGCTCGGCGGCAGAGACAGAGACCGTTGAGACAGACAAGGCTATCGAGCAGAAAGTGATGCTTGAGCCCAAAGCGCCCTGGGCAACATCACTGTGAAGAATCTGGTGATCGCGGTGCGGACGGTGGTGATGGCCTCTTGTGCTGTGCGGTCAGATTGCAGCGTTATAGTATTCTACAACTTGACTTGCCCAACAAGTTTTCCAAGAACTGACGCGAGGACTATGACCAGGCATCGTGACATTGTTGACAACAACATCAAGTGTGGGATTCAATCACAGGATTGACAGTGGGAAGAAGCATGGATGACGCGATGCAATAAGGTTCGGTTGGGGGCTGCCCACGCATGAAGGAACGCGCGCGCACAGAGCTGGTAGAAGATGAATTACGACAAGATGATCAAGTTCCAGAGCAAGAGCTGGTGAAGGACCAAGCCCAGAAGAACCGCAAAGCAGGGTGAGGGCCGACAAGACATCGCTGAGAAAATGGTGAGGAAGGGTCGGCGTGAACGAGGCGGAGGCCCGCTATTCACTAAGACTACATCCAGAACAAGTTCGATGAGTTCATCGTGGAGGCGGAGATCATGATCTTGGACACGGACAAGTTGCGCGCCGAGGTGAAGATGGATAGGAGCCTGAGGAAGGTAGACTAGTGTCTAGCTGCGATTCAGAAGAACTGCCAGAAAATGACTGGAGTTCATCAGTGATTAAATGAACAGAGAACAAGACGTCGACAACAGTGACAACAGGTAATTATTACTGGAAGATGCCAGTCAAAAAGTCGAAAGTGCTAAGGCAATCAGCTGACAGCTGACAGCTCACATGACCCCAAGAGAGCGTGCTTGTTGAGACACACCTACTTGACGCTGGAAGAGAACCGGGGCAGGGTTAGTGCTACTGAAGAGCTTTGATCGCTTCATTTGGAAAGCATGCGTGAGCATGAAGGAGCTCAAGAAGCTGCAGAGATTCGAGCGCTCTACGAAGCAAGGCATGGAACCACAGAAGAAGGTGGAAGAGCTTCAGACCTGCGTGCCAATGACGTCATGCTTCGACTTCCACCAAAAGAAGCTGATGCCTTTGAGAATGAGTCGACAATGGTTTGACTACATGGTGAAGGACATCTTCAAGATGTGGAGGTGGCCCAAACAGATCAAGACCAGTGGAGCAGGAAACGCGAGGAAACTCGACGAATCACCCATCCTAGTTTCGCGAAACTCAGAAGGTCAAAATGACTAGCGACATGACGTGGGCAGACTAGAGTGTCACATGAACATATACAGACATGACATCGTACTTTACGGTGGGTTTTGCATCAGCGGAAAAAGGAGCGACCATGTTCTGACAATTTTCGCAAAGTATTGCACCTGCTAGGAAATCTGTACTCCGGCGTACTTCGGTCTATTGTACTAAGTAGCAGTGCCGCAAGATGCAGATGAAGTTCCCTACTGACGTGTCAAGACGTGGAAGGATCAGGCGCCAGCTTTTCATCGATTGCTTTCCAGTTTAGACATCAAATCAAGATGGTCTCGAAAGTACGCGTGCGAACACAATGCGCGATCCCCCTATAGGCCCTGAAGTTTTGTTCGGATAGGAGTATCGTGAAACTATTTTTGTTTCGATGTGTTTTTTGTGGGACACGCGCAAAGAGGGCCCAGCTCAAACCCAGCCACCAAAGCGCCAACTTTAAAGGCAGCTTCTGTGGCTATTTCGGCCAGCGCTTGTTGACCCCGAAAAGTCGCGCGCGAAGATCATGTGCAGTGTTGTTGGCGTTGAACAGTTTGCTCGTCAATGCTTCCATCCAGGAGAAATAGAGTTGTTGGAACACTTTATTATATCGGTGGTCATGTGGTGGTCTTTGCGTCAACGTGGCTTGCGATGCTGCCAAAGTCCAGCAACGCTTCAGGTGTTTTCCGGCTATGATTAGCTTGAGCCCTCAAACTATCTTGGGCAGGTCTCATCGAATTCATTCTGTTATGAGGTGCTGTTTGATGTGTGCCCTGGCGAGGACTCATGAAAACTGGCCATTCAAGCGCCAACTTTAAAGGCAGCATTTGTGGCCTGATCTTCTTTAACACCAACACACCGTGCGCCTGAACTCCCTGAGATATGATCGAAACATGTAAACATGTCTGTGAATGTTTTGTGTGTGAATCCTGTTACGCAAACATCATTACATGAAGTATGGTGCCAAGTTAAGTTTGCCTTGAAGCGCAAGCTTTTGAAGATAGTGCAATGTTTCAAAACAACATGGTCTTCTCAGCCGCTTGGCTAAAACAATTGAGAGCGATATTGTATGTTTGTATGTTATGTTATGTTATGTTATGTTATGTATGTATGTATGTATGTATGTATGTATGGTATGCATGTTGCGTATGTTATGTATGTTATGTACGCTATGTATGTTTGTATGTAATGTATGTTTTGTACGCAATGTATGTTATGTTATGTATGTATGTATGTTTGTAATCATGTATGTATGTATGTATGTATGTAATTAATGTATGTAATGTATGTTATGTATGCAATGTATGTCATGTATGTTATGTTTGTTTTGTATGCAATGTATTTAATGTATGTAATGTTTGTTTTGGCTGCAATGTATTTAATGTATGTAATGTTTGTTTTGTATGCCATGTACGTATGCATGTAATGTATGTAATGTATGTTATGTATGCGACGCATGTCATGCATGTTATGTATGTAATGTTTGTTTTGTATGCCATGTATGTAATGTATGTAATGTTTGTTTTGTATGCAATGTATGTAATGTTTGTAATGTATGTATTGTATGAAATGTGTAATGCAATGCAATGCAACGCAAGTATGTATGTATGTATGTATGTATGTATGTATGCTGGCTGAGGTGTATTTCCGCAGATGTCGGGGAAGATGGGACTGGAATAGAGTGAGGGTTCCTTTTCAGTTGTTTTTTGCATCAAGCCCTGGGTGTTCACTTTGGAGTAGCTGTAAACTATTGCGTCTTACTTCACTTTGGAGTACTAGTAGCTGTAAACAGGATGGTGCAAAACCTGTGCCTCACAACCTCCAAGACATTTGAAAACAAAACCACACCTTTGCCAAGAGTAAACCAAGCTATGGTCGGCCAGGGTGTTTGGGTGGAAACAAACTGTGCCTCTATCACAGTGCCCTTCTGCTGGCGCCACGCCACACCGGAAGCTTTCTGCAGACGAAAATTCCATCACTTGTCGCAAGAACCTCGCCAAACTCGCCAACAAAACGAATTCTTACTTGCATGCGCTCAAACCTTTGCACTGACAACTTTCGTTTGAATCGCTTTTTTGGTGCTAGGAACCGGTGTGACTCTAAATGCCCAACTTGCTACAATTTTCCAAGTGTCGTGTTAGGTCTTTTTTTAGGTTTCTCAGGAGGTTTGTTGCACTGTTGCAGTGGTTGTAGCAGAAATCGTCGTAGTCATTGTCGCAGTCCTAGCAGAAACAACAATAACAAACTTGCATTTGTGCTCGCACTGGGGTTTGAAGTTCAACTATTTCTACTACTGTATTTCTTCTACTGCTACTACAATTACTACCACCACAACAACAACTACTATTATTATTGCTATTACTGTTACTCTTAC